CTAGGATCTTTTTTTTTTTTTTTTTTTTATGCAATATTACAATGTAACTATTTGACACAAGAACATGATTGTTGTCTAATATGAATACAAACATGCATGTATCTGTCTGAGCTTTAAGTAATCATAAAAAATTATATTCTTAGAAGAATTTTATAAATTATAGGCATTTATTTTTAGGTTTTTATGAATTCTACAAGATCTTTTTCTGTTGGGTTTTTTAAATATCTACAATTGTTAATTTTTATTGACCTTTCCAAAACTGTAAAAGCAGATTTTCTGCCACAAATAGATGATACTGTGCTATTCATTGTTTGGTTTTTGTAACACAGTTGTTAGAAAAGTTAATTTTGTGTCTTTATATAAAGAGATAATAATTAATGTAGCCATTAGATGGTAAGCAATCACTTTCAAGTAAAGAAAATAAACATTTTAAGAGAATTTACTAAACTTGTTAATTTCACCTCGTGATTTATAAATCAAGCCTTATTTTTTTTTCTTTAACAATAGCTCTTTATAATGAAGGCTAAAAGTCTAGAATAAAAATTATTTTCTAACAAATCTATTTTTAATGAATTGTAAGTACAAAAACATTTAACATTAATTTTACTTTGATAAAAAAAAGTATCATTAAATAATAGTATCAGAATTTCACATATTTATCATTTGGTGCCTTTTCTTTTACGTTTTCATTCTTTTGTAAATATTGGTTTAAAATGTTTACACTATTTACATTGTTCGGACTGTTGTCCTCATCTTTATTGTCATATGACATTTTAGCCATTGTATGCTATGGCCTTCTTCAGGTGATATACGTTTGAATTCCAAACCATACCCTTTCTCTTTTATCCACAGAGGTAGATTCTTCTAGTTCCACATGCTAAGCCCTTTTGGGATATCTCAGTTTCAGTTATTTTGCTTTATGACAATGATGATGCGGACAATAGTCTGAACAATGTAAGTAATGTAAATAGTTACAATACCTCATCACAGAAATAGACAGATCCTGAAGAAGGCAGGAGCACACAATGGCCGAAATGTTGTGAATATGACAATAAAGATGAGGACAACAGTCCAAACAATGTAAATAGTGTAAATAGTTTCAATAATTATCTGAGAAATAGACATATGTTGGTTTAAAATGATTAAACTTGAAAAATCAGTATCCATCTTCCAAGATAAAGACTTTTCTGAATTTCTAACTTTTCCTTAAATTTTGTGAAGATTTATTAATCTTATTCTTAGAATTGTGACCCAAACTGTTTTTTTTTTTTTTTATTAAAGTGTGCTGCTTTTTATTATTATAATTATTATTATTATTATTATTATTATAAAGTTGTTTTCATGACTGAATTAACCTTATTAAAGAAAATTTGTCTGATTTCAATCTGTCTTTATTCACATCTTCAGATTTTATTGATTTATTAAACTAGAATAAATTCTGATTTTACATTAAATCCATTTTTAAAAGTTATTCTATCATAGGTTAAAAGAAAAAGAACTGCACAGAAGTTTGTTCTATTAACCTTTTCCAACATGTATTTAAATACATTTTTTATTTAAATGAGATTTTAACTGAAATAATTATATTTTGTAAACTGGCTAATACAAGGATTTAAATAAATATTGCTTGAATTTAGAATTTCTTTTGTTCAACCTTAAATGTTTATTTTGTAATTTGTATATAAATTAAAAAAAATTATTTTATATCGGTGCATCTTCCTTTTCAAATTTCTATTTTGCATTATGTCACAGAGCGCTTTTGTGTTTTAATTCTTAATCTCTCTTCTTCCTCAACATATTTCATCCCATATTTCCCCTTCCCGCCTTTGTATTACAAAAGGCTATGACTTCCATCAAAGATGTACAGGAAATATTCCAATTCTTTTAAATTTTCTTTGTTCAACTAACTTTGAAAACTATTTGGTCTCTGAAGGTCATTTGTAGTTGAGTAATGACTAGAAACACAGCTTCTAACACCAATCAGGTCTTTCTTAATTGGTTTCAGATAACATTTAAAAACCCAAATGATTTTCTAAATCTTTCTATGCAAATCTCTAATAATCTAAGATAGAAACTATTTTACATTCATACAATTTTTAAGACAAAAGGACAAAGGCAACTTTGAAAAATGCAGGTTATTTATTTAACAAATGATTCCTGTTTTATTTTATTTATATTTCAGTGTTTATTTGCACCATCTTCAGGGTATTACAACTGGATATGATTTTCTCTGCTTATTTATAGGAGTACATTTTTCAAAATAGATTCAGATGGGATAAAGAGTATAAACTAAGATAGTGGATAGGATTACTAAATATAAATCAGTGATTTATAAAGAAGAAAAAAAGAAGAAAAAAAAACATTATTTTCTGCCTTTAATGGTTACACTTTAGATGTATCCAGTTTATAGGAGATAAACCAACTAGTGTGTGTCATGTGTATAAC